ATGTGTGCTTGTACTTGTGCATGTGACTATGTGTGTGTGCACGTGCGTGCGTGTCAGTGTGTGCCTGTATGTGTGTACGTGTACGTGCATGTGAGCATGTGCACGTGTGCGTGTGTGCACGCACGTGTGTCTGTGTGTACATAGGAATGTGTGCACGCACGTGCGTGCATATGTGCCTGTACTTGTGTGTGTATGCACGTGTGTGCGTGTCAGTGTGTGCCTGTATGTGTGTGAATGTGTGCACCTGCGTGCCTATACGTGTGTGCGTGTGTGCCTGTATTTGTGTGCATGTGTGTGTGCGTGCACATGTGGGTGCCTGTGTGTGTGTACATGTACATGTGCATGTGAGCATGTGCACGTGTGCGTGTGTGCATGCACGTGTGTCTGTATGTGCATAGGAATGTGTGCACGCACGCACATGTGTGTGCCTGTACTTGTGTGTGTGTGCACATGTGTGTATGTCAGTGTGTGCCTGTATGCATGTGAGTGTGTACACATGTGCATGCATGTGTGCACGCGCGTGCCTATACGTGTGTGCCTGTATGTGTGTGCATGTGCGTGTGTGTGTGCACGCATGCACTTCCCCCCGGAGACCGGAGGGCAATTTATTGCCCTCGGAGGCAATCGCTCCACAAGCGATAAAATGCCCTCAGAGGACGCCTGCCCCGCCCGTCCGAGCCCCGTCCGCAGCCTCCTGTCCGCTCCTCTCTGCCGAGCTGCCTGGATCGGGCCCGGAGCCACCCCTGCGGCGCCCCGTCTGCCCCGGCCAGCCTCCCAGACGGACGCTCCTTCTCTGCCTCAGCAGCGCCCCACCCAGGGCCGCCACGTGGGCGCGCACCCCGCCCTGCCGAGGGCCCCGAGGCAGTTAAGAGACCTTGGATCTGCTGTGTGACTCTGGGGCCGTCCCTCCCCTCCGCTGAGCCCCAGTTTCCCCTTGGGCGCAGTGGAGGAGCAGAACCAGAACCACACGGTCACGCCCGTGTCCCACGGAATCCCCTGAAGGGCCCAAGCGGGACCCTCCGGGTCTGAGAGACACAGTGGCCACACACAGCGGTGCTGGGAAAAGGGCTGTCGCCCCTGCACCTCAAGGAACCCCTGGGACCTGCTTTTCGTGATGCATCTTGGGAGTCATGGAAACCTTTCTGAGAACCCAAACTCGGGCTCTGATGAGCACAGGGCTGCTGGGGTTGCAGTGAGAGCAGGGGGCCCACAGCCCCACCCCTCCACTGGGCCCGCCCTCCCCGCCGGGGCCCTGACCTTGGGTTTCTTGTAGAAGCCTGACAGGTACCACCGCAGTACAAGCTTGATGCGGCTGTAGGCGTCCTCCTCCAGGGCGGCCCTGTGCCAGGACGGGAGAGGCCCCTCAGTCCAGGCCGGGATCCCCCAGGCCACCCTCTTGCCCTGTCCACCTTCCATCCACTTGGCTGGACACGGGCCACCGGGCCCCTCCCGTCCCGCCCAGCCCCGAAGCAGGGAAGCTGCCCGCCCTCCAACAAGGAATCCGGTTCTCCACCGAACTGGAAAGTGCCGGGGTGACCGCAATGCTGGGGCAGACAGGGTGCTGCTGGCTCGAGGGCTGGCAGGGCGCCTCTGCTTCCAGGAAGCCCTCCGGGGTACTCCCGCCCTCGCCCAGCTCCCGAGCCTCCCTCTTCCCAGCCTCCACAGCCTGCAGGGTTCGGCTTGAGGGCACCAACGCCCAGAGCTCGGGACACACAGAAGGTGCTCGGGGCTGGCCCCACGCTCACCTTTGATGGCTCCGGCCCTGACCTGACGGGCAGCCTGCCCCCCTCCTCCCTCTCGACCTGCTCCTCCTGGGGCCGGTCTTGGACACGGGGCCCGCTACGAGGCTGAGCTCAGCCGCGGACCCCGGGGCCCCTCCAGAAACATCCATGAAGGGGCCGGGGGCTGAGGGAGGCTGGGCTCTCCGGGTGCGCACGGGTAGGAGGGGCGCCCCCTGCTCGCTCACCTGGACAGCAGGTCGGCGTGAAAGTAATAGTCTGAGAGCTTGTCCAGGAAGGAGCGGGGCTCTAACACGAAGGTGGGCAGCACCACGCGGGACAGGTCCATGCCCGGCCGCAGCTGCCTCAGCAGAAGCCACATCAGACTTTTGTTCTCCTCGGACACAGTCTCCACCTGGGAGGCCTGGCCCAGCTGCCGATGGTGGAGGGTGGGGGGGGGAGGCTGCGGTCAGGCCCCCGGTCCATGCCTCCCGGGGGAGCGGGGACGGGGGGCAGGACAGGGGTGGCCGGCTCTGGGCGGGGGACGTGCGCTTCCTTGGTCTGGCCCCCGGCAGCCCAGCCGGCCTGTCTCGCCCGGTCTGGCCCGTTCTCTCCGGCGACCCCAACCCAGAGGGGCACGTGCTGGCCCAGGCTGGCTGCTGTCTGCCTCCACTCCTTGCCAGCCTGGCCGACCTGGGCCCTCCCCTCGGTCTGGGCGACCCCCGACTCTTGTGCGCGGGGTAGAGCCCGCCCATCCTGGCTGCTGAAACCCAGTGGTGCCAGGAGGCGCGGTGGGTACGGGGAGACCCCACCCCAGCCCATTCAATCTTCCCAGTGGCCTGGAGACATGGGTGCGGGGGGTGCTCTGGGCCTGCGCTTCCTTTAGAAATAAGGGTCCAGGGTCACACTGCCGGGTGGGGACCGCCCTGGCCCCCGCCTGTCCTTCCCAGTAACACACTCAAGGAGACAGAGCTGTGGGGGCTCAGGGCTTTGTCCCTCTGGGTCTGGGCAGCGGGGTCGGGTGGCTGCACCTCGCCGTCCACGCCGACCAGCAAACCCTGAGGCAGGCAGAGTCTCAGAGGGTCACGGAGGCATGGCCAGCTCCGTGGGGCGCTCATAGGACGGGGCAGTACAGCCGGGACACGGGGGAGTCCCACAAAGACCGGGCGGAAGTCTAGCCCATCATCTCTCCCCGGGGACCCCACCGTCTTCAGCCTTTGATGCCTCTGGCCTCGGGTGGATCTGGACTCAGCTGGTGTGTGTGTGTGTGGGGGGGGGTCCCCTCAACTGCCTACCCCTCTGAGCCCCGATGAGGCCCTGAGCTGGATTTGGACCCAGGTGGCCCCTGCACCCCTTCTTCCCAGACTTACTCCTCGCAGTGGCCCCTGGGCACTGGCACTGCGGTCGTCCCCACGTTACAGAGGGGACAGGCGACTTACCCGAGTTCACACAGCTGAGCTCGCACAGCACAGGCGGGCCGTGAACTCAGGGCTGTGTGTGTCTGTGGCCCGAAGGCAGCCACCCCGAGGGAGGCAGGATCGGTATCTGTCTCCACCCTGCTGGGCCGCCTTACACAAGCTGCTTTGCCTCTCTGTGCTAGCACACCTGTCCTGGGGCCCCTGCCAGGTCTCCCAGGTCCCTCTGTGGAGCCCAGCCTCGTCTGTGCTGAAGGGTCCCTCGGGCTGCCCGCTCTCGGCCCCAGGGCCCTCACGTGCATCTCCCCCAGTGTCACGGCCCTGACCCTACCCGGCCTCGCAGGTGCGTCGCCATCGGGCTGGGACCTGCCCGAACTCCTCCGATGTGTCTTGAGCCCCGCCCCTTGGCCCTCCTCCAGGGCTGCCCGGGACCAAGGCGCCCTTGTCAGCCTCCCGACAGAGGCTCCTCCCTAGTGGCTCCGGGTTTCTACCCCCACTCCTTGGCTTTCTAAAGGCCTCGCTGGACCTCGGCGGGCCCCCACCTAACCCCCCCAGGGTCTTCCCAAACCCTCAGCAGAGTCCTCACGGCCCCCTGGCTCTCTCTGAGTTGTGGACACCACCCTGGTCTGGTCTGGTCCCCCAGCACTCCCACCCCGGGCACTACAATCTCCTGTCCAGGGGCCAGCCGGGCACCGAGGCCTCTGTCTTTTCCGGGGAGGCGGGGGACGGGGCGACACCGGCCGCCCAGGTGGGGAGGGCTCTCACCTCCCCAAACTCCTCGTGGACCTGCTCCACATACGTGGTCCCCCCGGGCGCCAGGCCCTCCAGGGTCTCCGACTGGACACTCCTGCTCTCGTTCGTCTTTCCGCTGTGGTCCTGGGCCTCGTTGTCCGACTCCTCTGCGTTCTCCCTCTCCGACTTGTCCGAGAAAGCGTCGTTCTCCAGGGAGGAGCCATTCAGCCTGGAAGGGAGGGGCGTGCCGGGGGTCCCAGGTCAGGGGTGCGGCCTGGGCGCCCCCACCCAGGGCACGGCTCACTGCCAGCACTGCACCCACATCCTCGGGTCTAACCCAGTGTGCACGTGAAGAAACTGAGGCCCCCGGGCCCAGTCTGGGTGAAGGAGGCTGCCTCCTGACCTCGGGGTCTGGTGGCCAGACCTCCATGGTGCCTGCCCCCCGCCCCACGTACAAGGAGACCCGTATGTGAGTCCCGGTGACAGCCAGGGTCCTGGGGTCCCCAGCAGGCCGGAGACCCGGGCTCGACCCCTGCCCACCGCACCCCTGCTCACGGGCACAGGTCTTGGTCGTGGATGGTGGCCGAGGGGGGCAGCCCGCAGAGCGAGGGGGGCGACGCATCCGGCGAGGACCCGGGCTCCCCGTCACGGCCCTGCTTGCACGAGCTGAGTCGCAGGAGGCTGGAACAGCGCAGAGCCAGCTCTAGGGCGTCGAGCCAGCAGCGGCCTGCGGGGGGGAGGGGGGGTGAGCCCACTGCGAGCCCGGGAAGGGCCCCTCCCCTGTGCGTCCCCCACCCCCCTGGAGAGCCTTCCCAGGTGCCCCCGCCACGCAGGTGCACGTGGGCGAGTGCGGGTGGCAGACGTGAACAAGGACGGGGCCTGGCGGCCAGCCCCCGCCTGACTGGGGGAGACAGGAGCCTGGGGCAAGGAAGACGCCCTTCCCTCCCTCAAGGTCACACCTGAGCAAGACCCAGGCACCTGCAGCTTCTGCACACGGGGCCCTGCCTGACAACAGCCGCCTGCCCCAGGCCTGGGGGGCAGGGGTGCGCCTCAGGGGCCCCGGGGCTCCTGGTGGCCCACGGCACAGGCCAGGACAGTGGGCGGCAGGCTGGGGAGGGGGCTGCTGAACGTGGCAGGCAGCCAAGGGCGTCCTGGAGGGAGGGTGGCCCTGAGGCAGAGCCGGCCCGATCCACCCGCCCCCCATCCCTGCTGCCTTCCTGGCGGAGGCTGCCAGCGGGTGAGACCAGCACTGCTCGCATGTCCCAGGCGGCGCTCACAGCTGTGGGGACGCCTGTCCGCCACGGTGACCCCCGGTGTCCTGGTGGGATTACTAACAGCGGCCTTTCCACTCACGAGGGCGTCTATGCCCGCACATCATGTGATCAAGCGTTATTCCGAGAGAAGCTTCAGGGGTTCGAGGCGTGGGATTAAGGACAGTGACGATACCTCCCTAGTCTGGGCCTTCAAAGTGCGGCCTTTCGGAGAGCGTGACTCTCATTCCCTAACTTTGAAACCCACAGAATCCTTTGGGGGGCATCCTGGGCCTGGGACCGGGAGGCGAGGGTTTGCAGGGACGGTGGCCCCTGGTTCTCACAGGGGCACCCGGGGTCCTACGGGGTTTCACTGCAGGCTTGATGGGAGCCCGAGCGCCCAGCCCTGGGGGCAGAGGTGGGGGTCACGGGAGCAGCCCCCGCAGGAAAGAGTGGGGACACCGAGGCCTGCTGAGCTCGGGGCTCGCCTCGTCGTTGCCACAAAGGACCAGACACCCCGAATGCTACGCATCCTTTGAGGCCCATTCCCGGGCCCCCTCCTCGTCCTCCAGAAAGCCCACCCTCATACGCACAGGGGATGTGGACACCGTCCCTCCCTGCTCACGGCCCCCCCACCCATCTGGGACCCAGCTCACACTTTAGTCCGATCTGCCTTGTCTGACAGTGGGCTGCTCTCCTTCCCCTGAGACCACGGGCTCCACGAACACGGGGTGGGGGGGGGTCCCTCCTGGGGTGTGGACGGGACAACGTCCACCAGCCCCGCCCCCCCACCGCTCTGGGCCCCGAGGGCTTGAAAGAGGGGCAGCTGCATTTCCCCAGAGCCGCCACTAGAGGGCGCTCCAACAACGCGCGCCGCACTCGGGAGCCCGGGAAACTAGATGGCTCTCCAGACCTCAGGGCTTCCTTGGGGACAGTGTGCCCGTGCCTCAGTTTCCTCGTATGTCAACGGAGGTGAAAACAGTAGAACCTGCTGATTCGACGGGGACTGGCATGTGCGTGGCGCTCAGCAGCTGCCATCTGGTTGCTTTAAATAAGGTCACTGGGTAGTCATTACAACTGGGTGGCCGGCCAGTATTCATGTTTTGGCCTGGGGAAACTGAGGCTCCGAGAGGTAACTAGTGGATGGCAGGCCTGCCTGGCCCAAGCCCAGGCTTGTCCCGTGACATCTGCCTGCGTCCTGCTTGGGCGGCAGCGGGAGGGTCTGGACAGGGGCCGCGTGCACCTGGTCTGCGATGCCCCCGGGGCGCCCACTCCAGGCGGGGCCCCACCAGGGAGACCCACAGGGCAGCGGGGGACTCACCATCGGACTCTGAGGCGGCCCTGAAGATCAGGTAGCTGCTGGGGAGGGGCTGTGTGATGGAGCCCACACTCTCGCCTTTGGGGCCCTGGAGAGACAGAGAGCCGGCGTCAGCCGAGGGGACACGCAGGCACGGGCGGAGATGCGGGTCACGAGGAGTCACGCAGACGCGCACTGAGACACACGCGGCCTGAGGACCCCCAGGTGGGGCCAGACCCCCAGCCACGCGGACGCAGCAGGCAGCGAGAGGAGAACGAGCCCGCGGCTCGGTCCCGGGCTCTCCTGCGGCTCTGGAGTTCTCTCCGTCTTCGGGTGGCCGTAATCGGCACGCGCACGTTCGGGGTGCCCGTTCAGCGAAACGATGAGTAACTTTTTACAGCAGAAGTATACCCCCTGCAATCTCTGGGACATACCTACACTAAAAAAACCATTTGGGTGTTCGTCTGAAATCCTGCCGTACCTGGACATTCTGGATTTTATCTGGCAACCTGACGGGCAGCCTCCCGGTTAGGAAGGTACAGCAGGGAGGGCTGGGCTAGGAGCGGCTCACACGGCCCGATTCCTCAGCCTCTGCGCATCGCCGTGTGCTCCGCCCGGGCCGCATCTGGTCCCCGGCCGCCGAGAGACCTAACCCACGGCCGGGTGGGGGCCGGGTGGCGATGGGCCCACAGAGCAGTTGAGATTAGGCTCCTGGCCGCCCCTCGGCGCCCGTCTCTTACTCGGCCTGCCTGCGGGGCCTCGCTCCTCCCGGGGTCCGACCCCCCCTCCCTGAGCCCTGGGGCCCCCCCGGAGGTACCTTCACGGCCCAGACGGACTGGTCCAGCGGGTGGAATAGCTTGAAGCAGAAGCCGTCTTTCTTGGAGGGCCGCTCGATGAGCTCGCAGCAGTGCAACAGGACGGTGCCCACCCACTGGCCCACCTTGGGCGTCTTGTAGATGAGCAGCACGCCAGGCTTCAGCACGCACCACAGCTTGGTCCAGCTCTTCAGCGTCCCGCGGATCTGTGGGGAGGGGCACGGCTGTGGGGGGGGGGAGGGCGGCGCCCCGGGGGCACCC